GTAATTAGTTTTGTAGTGTTGCGTTTGTTTTAAATGTGGTAAATTATAGATTTGTATTTTGGTGACTTTGTACCGCGCTTCGAGCCTTTGGGGATGAAGCGTGTTTTTGAAATGAACTTTATTATTATTATTATTATTTGTTCAGTCATGGTTTGGTGAACCCCCCGCCCTCCCCCCGACGATTTCGAATCAATTACATGTTAGGGGTAAGGCAGACAATGTCACAATGTTGCTTTTAGGGTTTCCCAATCGTAGCTAACAGATACACACTTCTTTCATCTACAGCTAGTGGCTATGAGATATACCACCCAGCATCTGCAGTTTGTCGCCGCCTTTCAAAACATTTCATTGAAATCTTTCATCACAAACGGAGAATGGGATCTACAATCCACAGAACTGATCGTCAGCAACTTTAGCACTGGAAGTTCAGATCTCTCTTGCATTCAGGTATTTTAGAAGTAGAATATGTTTTTTGCTTTTGGTCTCAAATAAATTTCTTAGTTTAAACTCATTACACATAAAGTAAATTTCCATTTAAAATGCTGAGTCAGCCGATGGATCAAACTGGACTTCTCATCTCGTTTAAATACATAAATAAAAACAAAAAATGTAATATATCTATTCATACTCCAGATGAAGTTTTTCCTAAAGAGACGACCAGCTTTCCTAATCCTCAACATCATTTTACCAGTTGTCTTCCTTTCATTTCTCAACATTCTTGCCTTTATCATTCCAGTGGAATCAGGGGAGAAGATCGGTTACGGTAAGTGTTTGATTATTACAAAATATTTTTGAATATCCAGAAACTAGATTGAAAAGAAGCAAGTATTGTCACACACAAAAAATCCATTGAAAACTGTTACATTCTGTAATATGTAGCAGTGTCCAGTGATTTCTTGCGATATATCACTCGATAGATACACGTACCAGTCGTCTGTGTAAAAATTGTTTTATCCAGCGTTATCCTCTGAAAATCGTTTGTACATGTCAATCTTGGTGAGATGATGGTCTAATGTCTTACAGCAACCTCGCACATCCCTTAACTGTTAGGGAAGCATTATGGGAGTCCGCTCTGTCAAGGACGGTTACGTACCTCTGTAATGTAGAGAATGTAACCTATTATTTTACGCTATGGCCCATGTCAAACAATACATAACAAAGGACGATATTATTAATTAAATACAGAAATAAAGAACGATAACCAAACTATTGCTAATTGCAAATAATTATTTATTAAGTTAATTTAAAATGACAAAATCAAATAGAATAAAACTAAAGCTATTGACTTACAGTACAGCAATAAACTTGTACCGGTACAATGTTGACAAAGGTACGCACACACAGTATATATTAATATACAAGTCTATGATCAGTACAAACCTGTGTTTCTCACTTTGTTTCGTATAGTAATAGGTCATCTCTCTCCTCAGACCGCTTCCTATGTCGATCGGCTCATTTTTAATCATTATTAGAGACTTTTCCAGAAAAGGGTACACAAATGTCCTTTAGTCTCGTACGTTTTAATTCGAAAGACTATAGACTGTGTTTCCTTGTAGTCAAAGTCAAGGAAGACAATTTGTAATTAAAGCACACCCATCTGTTACGAACTGGTATTTTATCAGACCATGTTCGATAGCTTCGTTGTCTAGGGTTACACTCATTAAACAAACCATTGATTTTTAGAATAAGGCATCTTGATTAACCTTACAAATAAACCACATTGTCAACTGATGACATTACTCAATCCCTACACACTACACAAGAAGACTACTTTTACGCAAATTACGCCACAAAATATCAACCATTTAATAGCAACATCTACCCAATTCTCTCCAACCAACACGCAATCGATTTCACATACAAAGCCTTAAAATTCCCCCCCCCCCACCCCTTTCTTTGACATTATTTTGAAAAATTGATGTCACATACAGAAATAATATCAAAAATTGTAAGTATCTTTCAAAACAACATCCTAAATTTGACAAACTTCAGTGCCAAACATTAACTCCTTTCCATTGAAGAGCAAGTAATTTATTTAATTTACCAAAACACAATTTGAATTATTACAATTACAAACAAATTTATTGACACATCCAGAAAAAAGGACCCTAAAAACAAACTCTGCTTGCTAGTGGGGAAAACAAATGTAACCCCTATGAACTCATGTGGGCATCCCTAATTTGTCCACTCATGTGGGCATCCCTAATTTGTCCACTCATGTGGGCATCCCTAATTTGTCCACTCATGTGGGCATCCCTATTTTGTCCAGTCCGATATTCACTAATAAAGAGGGCGGGTTGTTACGCCTGTCTGTCGACTGACAAAAAAACCTGAACGTTTTTTTTTTCCGCAGCGTAACACTTCCCTCTCAATTCTCATTTGCTTCGTTACACGTTGGACTTGTAGCGTAACAAATCCCTCTCAATTCTCATTTGCTTCGTTACACGTTGGACTTGTAGCGTAACACTTCCCTCTCAATTCTCATTTGCTTCGTTACACGTTGGACTTGTAGCGTAACACTCCCCTCTCAATTCTCATTTGCTTCGTTACACGTTGGACTTGTAGCGTAACACTTCCCTCTCAATTCTCATTTGCTTCGTTACACGTTGGACTTGTAGCGTAACACTTCCCTCTCAATTCTCATTTGCTTCGTTACACTTTGGACTTGTAGCGTAACACTTCCCTCTCAATTCTCATTTGCTTCGTTACACGTTGGACTTGTAGCGTAACACTTCCCTCTCAAATTTCATTTGCTTCGTTACACGTTGGACTTGTAGCGTAACACTCCCCTTTCAATTCTCATTTGCTTCGTTACACGTTGGACTTGTAGCGTAACACTTCCCTCTCAATTCTCATTTGCTTCGTTACACGTTGGACTTGTAGCGTAACAAATCCCTCTCAATTCTCATTTGCTTCGTTACACGTTGGACTTGTAGCGTAACACTTCCCTCTCAATTCTCATTTGCTTCGTTACACGTTGGACTTGTAGCGTAACACTCCCCTCTCAATTCTCATTTGCTTCGTTACACGTTGGACTTGTAGCGTAACACTCCCCTCTCAATTCTCATTTGCTTCGTTACACGTTGGACTTGTAGCGTAACACTTCCCTCTCAATTCTCATTTGCTTCGTTACATTTTGGCCTTGTGACAAATTATCGACCAACAAATGAAATCTTTTCACACTAACATTTTTAAATATAACACTATGAAAATAATCAAAATTGTAACAATGAACACAGCCACAGCAATTTATGATGACGACAACATCAACAGCCTCACCACCCAGCTCGTGGAAAACACCCACCTGCTCAAAAAAACTAAACTAAACATAAAGTCTGAGCTATGATGACTCTCAAAATTTGAGCAGCATGGCTCTCATGATATAATAAATGAAATATATCACAAACATGAACCTCAAAACAAATTTTCTCTCCTACCCCCCCCCATCTCAGGGGGGAAAAACTCACACCCTCCACGTAATGTACATAATCAGGAATAAACACGTTAATCTCAGCACCACCACGGTTCGCAATCGTCGAGCAGCGCGTGTCTCCCACACCCCAAAATTACCGTCTGGACTACTACCCTTGTAGTTCCATGTAAGGTAATCTCCCTCTAATGGGCCCGAAACTGTTTGGCCCTCTAATAAGACCTAAATGTTTGGCCCTCTAAGGACCCTGATGGTTTTGCCTTCTAAGGGACCTAACTAGACTGATCGTCGCAGCTGCATTTATCGCAGGAGCACCTTGGCCCATGGTTAAATTTGGCCTTCCCGTAGCGCTACTTTTGTTGCAAGGGTTTCACTTCTCGCATCTGCTGCAATTTTGGATTTCTTCATACATTGAAACGATGCTCAGCGATGATCTCCCATACGTGGAATTCTATTATGGCTTTCCTCGTGCTCCTTTTGCAAACGTCCTTAAATCGCCACCACGGAAGTCCATATCAGTCTTATCCCTTCTGCCGAATGTTGATACAGCAGATCCATTGGAATATGGCCTTTCTCCACTCTACTCAAATGGCGAAGGCGCCTATTGCTAAGAGCGGAAAATATGCGACCCATTTTTAAACGTTCTAAATGTTCAATGTTAGACACCTGTTTTAGGCACTGTTTTAGGCACCGTTTTAGGCACCGTTTTAGGCACCGTTGTAGGCCCCGCTTTAGGCATCTGTTTTAGGCACCTTTTTAGGCACCTTTTTAGGCACCTGTTTTAGGCACCTGTTTTAGGCACCTGTTTTAGGCACCTGTTTTAGGCACCTATTTTAGGCACTGTTTTAGGCACCTGTTTTAGGCACCGTTTTCTGCCATCAAATGTATGACATGCGCATACAAGATCCGCATAGAATACTGAAACATATTTCCTATAAGCTTACCCTTACAGTGTGTTTAAAATTTTCTTGCCCAAAAGAGCGTGTGCATAGATAAATACATTGAAAAGATTGTTGTAACGTCGAGTTATAATTGTAACGAAGTGCTATATCTTTTTCTTGGATCATGTTGAACGCTCATCTTCTTTGTTTGCTATTACACTGTCTCTCTGCATCCAGCACTCCCAATAAGTTTTATGATTAATCGATTAATTATTATATCACTGAAAGCACGAGACAAAATTCCATCTCTAGCATCAACGAGTATACTTTATTCACATCAAATATCACTTCACGACATGAAATAAATCTCCTGATTGGAGTAAAATCCATGTCATCATTTTATTAACTTGACAAATATAACAAACCAATCAGATTGTAAAATACTTATTACGGCGTTCTGAGTTCTACGCGTAATGGATGCAAGAGCACACACAAAATCCCGCTGCCATGTTGGCCGTGTATGAATCATAACATCACAATATTTAACTTCCTGTGCATTCTAAAGTTCAAAACAATTTAGCTGAGTTGAATAAGTGAGATGTTGCAAATGTGTTTTAACGTCATTTTATTTGTAAATGTATTAAAACATAATTATACTGCCATGTAAATCTACATGATTAACTTTTTTAATGTTACCATCTCCAGGAATCACTGTCCTACTGGCCCTGTCCGTGTTTATGAGCATTGTGAGTGGCATGCTGCCCACGTCATCATTAAATATGCCCAATGTCACCATCTACCTATTCTTCCTACTCTTCTTGTCCATGCTGACGGTCATCGACAGTATCATCATCGTCTACTTGCACCATAAGGAGGGGGTGAGTTAATTTGTTGAACATTGTTGCAGCATTTTATTATCCCCATGAACTTGTCCCGTCAGTTTATTTTTTTATTTTTTTGGACAAACATTCTGCGTCCATATCTCAAGTGCTCGGAGCTGACATTCTAAATTGAAGCAAACGATGCACGTAAATAAAACAGTTAGTTGTTGTAACAGAAAATAACAATTAAATCTTTTTGGCAAATGCCTTCAACGCTATAACAAGAAGACAATTTCTATTTAGCATTAATAAAATTTACATTATATGTTGTATCTATTTCTACACATTAAAGAGATGAATAAGAAAACAAATGTTTAGAAAAACAGAATGGAAGCGGGTGTAAGTACAATTTAAAAACCAAACAGGACAAAGGCATTGCAGCTGTGGAGAATTGTGAATTTGGTTTATACCGTATGGAGTCAACCTAACACATAAGTCAATAAAACTTTGTAGTTGTGTAGTATCCATGTTGGTAATTCCTATACAATAATCGATATATTTCTAGTATTATTATTCCTAGAAAGAATCTTTGTAGCCTTCTCCCCGGAGATATTTCAAATTAAATCCTAACATATGTTGTTTTAACTACACAAAATATTTGTGTTTCATTAATCCACTTAAAATATTTAAAGCTGGCAAACGCCTCTACAAAATTAAATAACTTAACCAGCATGATGTGGATACCGAAATAGATTATAATTAATTCCTTTTTCAAATATTTATTTGTTCTGAAACAGGAGGAAGCGACCCATCAGAAAGTCAAGTCGCAGTTCAGAAGCGCGTTGTCAAAAGTTACTAAAATACGAAAAGTCGTTTCGACATTTGAGGCACCGGCAACAGAAAACAAGCAAGACTCCGCTAGAAAAGTTCTGTCGTTATTTGCCTCAAATGCGTCATTATCGGATAGCATGCAGCCATCTTGCGACGAGAAGGGAAATAAGCGAGCCACGGAGGTGAAACAAGGGGAGGTAACGAAAGTCAACAAGTATAAACTAATCGGGAAACACATTGATTCTGTGTCGTTTGTTATTTTCTTACTAGTTTGGTTAGCTGCAACTCTTGGATTCATGTTAAATATGGCCCTTTCATAAGGTTTTTAAATATTTATTTTGTCCATAATAACAAGAACTAATCAATTGAATTTATTTCGGAATTAAGACAAAATCCACCAAAATACCAATTTAAGTTTTCTTGAGTACCTTTCAATCATACATCAGTTTGTTATGTCCATCTATACGCAAAAACAATGTTGAAACATTCAGTAATTCTAATTTGTGTCTTAAATAAAAAAAAAAAAAAAGGTTTTTCAAGGTTTGAAGACGATTTTGCAATGTGTCGCTGTAATAGCTAATCAGACTTCTTGCAAATCAGATGTTTCTTGGTGTTCTTTAACAAACTTGTTTCAACTGGCTGCCATTGTTCGAGCAAGAGATATGCCATTATCGGGATGATCAAGAGATATGGCATTATCGGGATGATCAAGAGATATGCCATTATCGGGATGATCAAGAGATATGCCATTATCGGGACGATCAAGAGATATGCCATTATCGGGATGATCAAGAGATATGGCATTATTGGGAGGAGCAAGAGATATGATATTATCGGGAGGCTCAAGAGATATGATATTATTGGTAGGAGCAAGATATGTGACATTTTAGGTAGGAGCAAGAGATGTGACATTATTGGGAGGAGCAAGAGATATGACATTATTGGTAGGAGCAAGAGATATTACATTATTGGTAGGGGCAAGAGATATGACAATACTGGGAGGAGTAAGATGTATGACATTATTGGTAGGAGCAAGATATATGACATTATTGGGAGGAGCAAGAGAGATTTCATTATTGCTCCGATATTTTTATCAAAATTAGAACACTAAATACAATGTTGTAGAAATGAAGTATGCATAACATATATATGTAGAGAATACTGTTGTAAAGTATGTATAGAATGCATACTGTTGATACTGGAGAGAAACATCTATATAAACATATATTACAATATATTGAAATTTGAATAATATTTTTAAAATTTCGAGTGGACGGACATGATACTGCTTTCCAGTGATATTAAAGTGGATATTCGTATACATTTAGTATATATAGGATAGTACTGTATAGTAGATGTATAAGTCAGATAATGTTGTAGAGTGAATACAGAAAGGTTGCAAATGTTACACATAACTCAAATGGAGACAGTTACATTTAATTGTCTTTTTAGTACTAATATCATGTCTTTACGTCCCACTGGCCATTTCTTGGTCATTTCAGGCCTATACATCACATTGACCAAGCATCACACTGACCATTTCAGCCCCATACATCAGTCTGACCATTTTACCAGCTATTTCAGGCCAATAATTCATTTTGACCATTTCACCAGCCATTTTAGCCCCATACGTCACACTGACCATTTCACCAGGCATGTCAGGCCCATACGTCACACTGACCATTTCACCAGGCATGTCAGGCCCATACGTCACACTGACCATTTCACCAGGCATGTTAGGCCCATATACGACATTTAAATACTTATACGTTTATTTTGATTCAAATTGTATCGCTTGTTTTTCTTTTTTTCTTTTTTTTTCAGTACTACATTTACGATATTTGCAATGATCAGTCTATTGCATTCAGATTTGTTTTTTTATCAAACTATAGTGTACCTCTACGATTGTCTAAGGAACACTGAACTGGCCTACCATGTAAAAGTTTTAGGATCACTGGTTTAAAATACAAAGACATAGTTGAAGAATGTTGGTCTTGTAAGAGAATCCTCTTTTCGGTCAGTTATAAGGTTAAAGATGGATAGTGAACCTCTTAAAAGATATTAACTGATTTGGAATGAAAATAAGTTTATTAATTTTAAATGTTAATGTTTTGAATTTCTTAACTGTTTTTTTTTTACATAACATATAACTATGTTAACCTTTTGCCTTCGCCTCAAATTATGTTAATGCTGGAATTAGTCAAAAAATAATCTGTATATAATTGAAGCAAGTAACTTGTTATGACCAATAAAGGAGATAGTAATACAAAGTATGGAAAGTGACGATGGGTATGGAACTTGATGCAGGGTACAGAAAAAGATGTGTGTTAAGGAAGGGAAAGAAGGGTGTGGGAGATGAGGCGGAGAATGGCAAGGCATGGAAGGAGATGAGGGGAATGGCGAGGAATAAAAGCAGATGCCGAGAATGGCAAAGATTGCGGGAGATTCGGGGAATAGCGAGGGATGAAGGGGATGCAGAAAATGGCAGGGATAGAAGGAGATGCGGGGAATGGCAAGGGATGGGAGGAGTTGCGGGGAATGACAAGGGATGGGAGGAGATGCGGGGAATGGCAAGGGATGGAAACAGATGCGTAAATGGCAAGGATAGAAGGAGATGCGGGGAATGGCAAGGGATGGGAGGAGTTGCGGGGAATGACAAGGGATGGGAGGAGATGCGGGGAATGGCAAGGGATGGAAACAGATGCGTAAATGGCAAGGATAGAAGGAGATGCGGGGAATGGCAAGGGATGGGAGGAGTTGCGGGGAATGACAAGGGATGGGAGGAGATGCGGGGAATGGCAAGGGATGGAAACAGATGCGTAAATGGCAAGGATAGAAGGAGATGCGGGGAATGGCAAGGGATGGGAGGAGTTGCGGGGAATGACAAGGGATGGGAGGAGATGCGGGGAATGGCAAGGGATGGAAACAGATGCGTAAATGGCAAGGATAGAAGGAGATGCGGGGAATGGCAAGGGATGGGAGGAGTTGCGGGGAATGACAAGGGATGGGAGGAGATGCGGGGAATGGCAAGGGATGGAAACAGATGCGTAAATGGCAAGGATAGAAGGAGATGCGGGGAATGGCAAGGGATGGGAGGAGTTGCGGGGAATGACAAGGGATGGAAGGAGATGCGGGGAATGGCAAGGGATGGAAACAGATGCGTAAAATGGCAAGGGATGGAAGTAGATGCGGGGAATGGCAAGGGATGGGAGGGGTTGCGGGGAATGGCAAGGGATGGAAGTAGATGCGGGGAATGGCAAGGGAGGGAGGGGTTGCGGGGAATGGCAAGGGATGGAAGTAGATGCGGGGAATGGCAAGGGATGGAAAGAGATGCGGGGAATGGCAAGGGATGGAAAGAGATGCGGGGAATGGCAAGGGATGGAAAGAGATGCGGGGAATGGCAAGGGATGGAAAGAGATGCGGGGAATGGCAAGAGATGGAAAGAGATGCGAGGAATGGCAAGGGATGGAAGGAGATGCGGGCAATGGCAAGGGATGGAAGGAGTTGTGGGGAATGGCAAAAGATGGAAAGAGATTCGGGGAATGGCAAGGGATGGATGAAGATACAGGGAATGGCAATGGATGAAGGTGATGCAGAGAATGGCAGGGATGGAAGGAGATGAAGGGAATGGCAATGGATGAAGGTGATGCAGAGAATGGCAGGGATGGAAGGAGATGAAGGGAATGGCAAGGGATGGAAGGAGATGCGGGAAAACGCAAGGCATTCAAGGAGATGCGTGGAATGGCGAGGAATAAAAGCAAATGCAGAGAATGGCAGGGATGGAAGGAGATATTGTGTTTGTGAAGTAGTTGTGGGAAATTAATGGTATGGGCCGTATGGAAAGAGATGTGGGGTGTGGCAGAGGATGAAAGAATATCGACGAGGATGTTGTGTCAGTGAAGGAGATGTGTGGTAATAAGAGGATGTGGATATTGAAGGTCATTTGAGGTAAAATGGGGATCCAGTGTAAGGGAAAGGGATGAGATCTAATAAAGGTAATGCATATTATTAGATCATGAGGTTGCATCGAAGGCATGCAGAGTACGGAAGAAGATTACTATTATTATTAGGTAATTTGTGTATAGCGCAATACCCCATCCTAGAGCTAGAATCACTGCGCTTCACATAAAAATTACCAATTACAGAAACGTATTCTTTTAAAAACAAAAATTGGTAAAAAGCTTGACCTCACCCACCCAACTAATATCTACCATGTATAGCCATAGACAGGATCTTACAGAATCAAGCGTCTTCATTAGTCAGATGGGGCGAGAATGAGTCGGTATAGTACGGTTTGAAGAGATGGGTCTTGGTGGCAGTTTTGTAGGCTATGGGAGAGAATTAAATTGTTTTACGGAACAGAAAGAGAAAGATCGTTCGCAATATGTTTTAGTGCGCGTTCTGAGAAGGGAAAGAATACTATGGAAGAACGAAGGGGTGAATAGACAGTAAGATATTCAGTAAGGTAGGAATGGCGGGAACCAGAGAAAATGTTGTGACAGGGAACAGACAAGCTAATAATGAATGCGTGCTTGTATAGGGAGCCAATGAAGTCAGTGAAGTAGTGGAGTGGCATGATCGCATTTCTTGGCCTCGAGTATGTAACCTTTTAGTTATTTTGCTTATTTCAAATTCGATAAGAGGAAAAAGCAACACAAAAAAAATGCACACCAAAAAAATTTAAAAAAAACATGACAACTTCTGTTGTCGTTAAATAATTTTTTTTAATAATGAAAATAATAAACCATCATAATTTGCCCTCTATCAAAAGATATAATTGGTTCAAAATACGGATAAGTCCAATCAATAACCAAGCCATTACAATGTCAACATCCATTTGTCATATTTCTAGAAGATAACCAGGTTTGAGGTCGCCACAACTTGTGCAATGTTATGAAAGGGAGAAATCATTTTTAAAAAAAGGTTGAGAAACTGCTCCAGGTGGTGTACGCCTTTGTTGCAATGGGTGCAGGGTGTACCAGCCACTGCCATGACTAAAGTTCTTATTCTTTTCTTTCAGGCGGGCATGTGTTATAGCCTGTGTCTTGACCTAATCTTGCTTCAACGTGGAGCTAAAGCGTCAATCAAACCCTTTCCCTTTGAGTGTTTTGATATTGAATTGGCCGATTCTCTATGTATTGGTGTACCTACCTACTCAACCACTCCCTTGGTTTTTTTGGAGAGGGTTGTTTACTCTCTATTTGCTCGAATGAATGCAATCGTGCGATGCAATTTCTACAATTTATTTCTTTTGGAGGGTTCAGAATTTCTCTATAATAAACATAAGCCGACAGCATTCCTAGCCGAGAGAGATTTTTTA